CACATATACATAGCAATATAACATTGAACTCTCTCGAAGTGTGTTATTTTCACGCACTTTAATTTGCAGTGTTCGTAAAAAAGTAGCACACCCTAAAGTGTGTAAATTATCATATTTCGTGATGTGTATAAATACATCCTTGTTGAAGTATGTTGAAAAAAACCCACACTTTGAAGTGTATGGATCAAAAATTACACACTAAAGTGTGTGTAAAAAAATTGACCCTTAGAATATGCTAAAAACTTACACACATTGGCATATCGAAGTTTAAAATAGGCCCTAATAGATGTGAGGAAATTTACATACACTGAAGTGTGTAAAAAAAGGAACCACAGCCCAAAGTATGTAAAAATGGTTAAAAATGTTATTTCTTTGAGATTAATGTTTGAAAAAGGAATTCATTGGTAAGAAAAATGGTACTTAATTGATGATAACTGTTCAATAAACATTTTATTATTATCGTTAATCTGGATTAAAAGATTGACTTCTAACGACTACATTTTTTTCTCCAATGCACAAAGTAAACGATATATTACAGTAATTGACTTTTAATTGATCGACAATTAAAGAAGATAAGGGTGATTTTTTTCCATGATTTATATTAATAATTAGTATGATTACAACTATAAGAATTTTTTTGCAAAACGACAACAAAACTCGCATGGATACATTCTTTTGTACCAATTACTGTAGTGATACGATCAATGTGCTCCAGGCCTTTATCTTTCTTTTTACTTCCTTCAATTTTTATTCCTAATTGTATCACAACTTTCACGATGAAATTGTGAAAATTATACAAACGTCTATACTTTTTTTTATTAAAATTATTTGTTTTTTGTTTTATCAACAATTAAAATTGTTTTATGCTTTAACGGTATGCCGACTTATGCATAAATTATATTATTTTCCAATTTAATTCATAATAAATTTATTTTTTTATCCGACAACCTGTTCCTTATTATTATTCATTTTTTTTCGAATATTAACAACCATCGAATCAGATAATGGAAATAAATGATGTAATTGACGATATTCTTATGCCAAATATGTAATTACACTTATAAAGCGTCCCACCCAGTTGGAGAATGTTGGAGCAATCGGCAAGACTTTGCATGGTTATTCGATTGATTTATACGAGACATGCTATATACATACGGAACTCACTTTTACCTAATAGACATTAATACAGTTTAGAGTTCCGAGAGTTTAACTTTTTAATTGTGAAAAATAAATGCTTTAGTTTCTAGTCAAATGGAAAATTAATTTTTATCGTAATTGCTTTTCTATTGGAGAGTTGAATTAATTTTTTTCTTTTCATTCATTCACAGTAATTTTCTTTAAACATCAAAATTTTTATAATAAAAAATATTTTCAAGAGTCTCAATACATTATTCTATAGCCCCTGATAATAAATTCAAATGGAAATATAAAAGATCAATTAAAATAATAATGGTAATGATAGAAATAATTAAAATCTTATTGTTTATTTTCAAGATGAATAAATTTTGATGGAAGATTAAGAAAAAGTCTGACAGCCTTCACACAATTGGGTTGAAGAAGAACGGGTATCGGAATATGGCGAAAACTTACGAGTACGCATGCGCACAGATGCGACAATAAAAGAAATGTGAGTTATGCACATGCGTGGTCACAAAATGTAGATAAAATAGAGGCTATATATAGGTTGAATAAAGGCTGAATGGAGGTGATGCGCAAGTTAAAAAAAACAGCGTAGAAAGAGATTAAATATTGAAAAATTATTTATAAAAAAAAATCCTTATTTTAACATCCGTAAATTTTTTTTAGACAATTTTTTATTCACTGTCTCCCTGTCAATCATTAACCGAAAAAAATTGTCTGAATTTTTACATTCTTTTACAATAATTTTTTTCGGTATTTATGTTCCTGTCATTGACACTGTTGCACTGGCGTTCCGTATATAAACACGTGACTTTCATCAACAGTGAGTAGTTTGTACAGGCTCAATATTCTACTCCAATAGAGCGAAAAAAGGAAACAGACTCCGAAGGTAAAGCTATATCTCATTAATAAGAGGTTATCGCGTTAATCAATTCATTTACACTTGGAGCGGACTTAAGCTATGTAAGATGAAGGTCAGATGATTTTGTGCACTCGTTCCGCATCACTGCAAACATAACGGAAAATAATATTCACTCATAAATAATTCAATTCCATTCATAAGCATTTGAGGAGATATGTAAGAATTGAATAATACTAGAAATTTCAATAAAACTTGACAAATAAATTTTTGTATTAACAAATTTTATTATTTAAAGTTAGCTGTAAAAATAATTAATCATATACAGCACCGGACATAAATACTGTATGATTTTATATAGGAAGGTATAGGGAAATTGCATGTATAACCTCCAAAAAATTAAGCAGCATTTATGCTCGGTATTGTACATTAATTTATTCAATTCTCGCAATTATTTGAATTTTAATAATAAGCACGATTGACTGTATATACAATGAAAAAAAACAAAAAACATTTAGTCTTAATATTGACTACTCTATATTTCTAACCTCTTTAAATTCAAAAAAAAAATTCTTCCTCTTAGACAAATTAATAACAGGTAAGTTTAAAAGTAAAATATATTGTTACACTAAATTTAAGATGAATAATTTATTTACATAGTTGTTGATAAATTAGCAAGTAAATTGGATGCAAAAAGTGTGTAAAAATGTCATTCACACGAAAGGAAAAAGGAAGATGAGACGAGCAAGAACTAATTGATGATGCTTGTTGGCAAGACTGCAAATAAGTCGCGTGAATCGAACCAGCTACGTTCAGAGACTTACAACTGGTTATTTCATGCACGTGACTCACACTGAGACTTTTCCTCGACATCAATTTAACTATCTTTCATGGTAGTTAAGAGATCAGCATACACTGCCGTGGCAAGGACCGACTTGGCACGTGTATACGGTCTAGTAAGATCACGTGTAGCACGTGAGTTCGTTGATACTTTTATACACGTGAATTATTGTTATTTCGCGATCTATTTCAACATTGTGCCGTGATATTTATGTGGGTATTCAGTCCACACAGATATCAATATTTCTGTGAGGCTGCTGAGCATGAATAGAAGTTGGCCTTTTTTTTCGTCGGTTTTGATTGATGGTGATGGCTAGTTTTGACGAATGTGTCTGAATGAGCTTGTTGTAAGGGTTTAGAAGTACGAAGATAAATATTATTATAATTATCTGTGGGTTTAGTTTATGTGACTTTTATGGGGTTTACATTTTTTACTGACAAACAAACTTTCGAAAAATTTTTTAGCTATTCATTTTATGGATTTTCACTTGGACAAAAAACTTGTTGATCTGTTTCTAACATTTCTAAGAGTCTTTTATTGACTTACGAGAGACAGAATGCAATCAAAGTTGATGATTAATATTCAGTTGTAATAAAGTGAGATATATAAAAGTAGATCTATGGTTGTAATCAACACCTCACACTCCTTGAGTAGTCATGATGATGTGACCCTTATTATCTTCTAATTAGGAACCATCAATAATCTTCAGGTATGCCTGATTTAAATTTCTAATCAGTCCCAAGTGTTGATAATATTTAGAATTATGTAAAGGAAGGAGGGGTAAAATGGAACACCAAGAAAAAATGTAAATCAATATATTAATTATTATATAAACAAATGTTAATTATTTTTAATAAATTAATCAATTGTAAAATTGATAAACAAAAAGTGCAATAAGTGTTTGTCCCTCCCTTCCCCTAAGAGGGCCAAATAAATGAGGAGTGTCTGTTTTCCAAAAGATTTCCTATTTCCTTGATGAACAAATTTTACAGGAAACAATAGAAAGTATTTGAATGGTTTATTAAAATATAATAATAATTATTGTTAATGTATTTAATGCAGATTAGGCTAATTGATATGCATGTATATTTTATTAAATTAAAAAAAATCAAAAATCCATTTCCATCTACTAGGAAATAGGACCTTTCGAACCGACACTCCTCAAATGAGGTTAGGAAAAATTGGATTTGATATGACTTTAGTTTAAAAATGGATCTAGGTGGATTTTAAAGTGTCCAACTTCCTGTTGAAGCATTCCCACTGACTGGATGACTGTAATCATCATAGTCTAGTGGCTGTGTAATTTTTAAATGCATCAATTATGATATAAAGGTTTCATTTTTTGTTTTTTGGTATAAAGGTCAAAAAACGCCATTTGCCGAACTTTGACAATTGACAAAAAATAGTAATTATTGTTTCCGAGTAATAAAAATTTGCACCAATACTCTCCTCATTACCCTCTACAAGTAAATAATTAATTTAATTCAATAGTTAATAATTTATTTAATAAATTCTCTATTTGATCCTGCTATTTATTTTTTTCAGTGTAAGATAGGGCTTAAAATTATGGCTACTAGACTATAGCGATATAAAATTGTTATAAACAATATACAATTCTCTAGAGATATTTACAGGTAATTTTTAACAATATTTTATTTAAATAAAAAATTAATTTAAATCTTAATAATAATAATTTTTTTTTGTGCATTCAAATTCAACTTTTTTTTATAAAAGTTGAGTACCAAAAGCTTCTTAAGAAATTCTAAATAATTTTTCATGCAATTAAACACAAATAAAAAAAATGTTTAAATTAATTTATTATAGTTAAAATATTTTTAATAATCAATTACATGCACTAATAACTGAATGAAAAATTTCTCCGAGGATTTCCAATAATTAAATTAATTTTAAAACAATTTAATTGATCAGAAGAGTAATAAATTCAATTATTTAAAGTCATTCCGTAAGAAATAAAATTTTTTATCACCAAAATTATAAAATAAACTCCGAGTTTTCACCAAAAAAAAACTCCCACGGTTTAATATCTATCCTTTTTTTTGCCCCTTTTTTTAATCAGAAAATTAGAAAATTTAGAAAAACACTTGGAGAAATTTTTCGTCACCTCTTAAAAGAACAAAAAAAAAAAATGTAACAACTTACCTGGTGATACGATCAGATGCTGCGGATATCCCATGACAGCATGGAGAGTAGCTAAAAAAGCCACCGTCAATATCAGATGAACTTTCATAGTTTCACTTTTGGTACAATCTTCGATTTGTCCTAGCAACCGTGTCACGCTTTTCGCGCCCGTCCGAGAGAAAATATCAAAATAGCACTCAAGTAGATAAATCTATGCATAGACAGACACCTTTCGTTTTCAAGGATTCAACGAGAAATGATAATTCTTCTGAATGGAATGAAAATGAAATGAAATTTTTTAAAAATAAGTCACGTCGTTAAATAATGTAATCACTAGTAAGATAAAAAAGAGTTCCTGTTAATTTATTTTATGAGAGCTCCTCTCTTTGACGTACTGTGGAGTTATCTGGAGGGCCGCCAGACGCTTTCACCGGTTTTATACTCGACTATGGCAGCACCTCTTCTCTTGTGTATCAGGGAAGGGATAAATCCTTATGTCTGTTATGCATCAAGTATTCAAGTATGTGAATATTATATTCATATACCGTAAATGATTGTACAGGTCTTCTTGAAAATCTAATCCACAACCCACTTGCGTGTGAATAAGTGTCTAAGGACATCTTGTATGACCAGTCTAGTCAATAGTCTATTGGATGAAACAAAAAAAATATCTGAAGGCTTTTAATAATGTAGTTAACATTACTTTGTACAACATCATGAATAATATAACGATTAAATAAATCGTCAAGTTATGATGCGTGGTATTATTTCTTATTTTACTAATTGGGATCTTTTTAGAAAATTCATTGGAGTTAGAGTAGATAATGGGAGTAAAAGAGGCTTTCGGTGGAAAAACTTTGATGTAATATGTGTTACTAAATGTTTATTTTTAGTGAAAGTTGATATTGTAATTATCTAAATTGATCACATTTGTTTATTTACGAAAATTTTGAGATGTTTTTTTTTTTTATAATAATCTGTCAGTCATTATTATTATTTTAACCTTATGATATTCTTTGAAATGTATTCAATGTGTTTGTATTTTATTTATTATTTTTTGTTCATTGTTTATTGAAGACGATGCTCTCTAAAAGTTAGCCGAATTTATTTTATTGTAAAAAATAATAGTATTGAGATAATAAATGAGAAAAGATTAATTTATCAGTTATTATTAAGGTTTAGGATAATTTTATTTGAACCTTCTTCAAACAAATCCGAGACACGACTGACTTAGAAATTGAAGGCCCAAAAAAAAGAAGTGCATAATAAATGTGCCATGGGTCTTATCTAACCTCAAATATTTCGATTTCATCTGGTAAACTTTTTTATCACTAAAAATTGTTTTATGAACGAATAAATTTATGGGAATAGAGTCTCTTCATAAAAATAATTAAGAAAAAGAATTTTAAATCAATTTTTATATAAATAAAATAAATTTTTTTAAATTTGTTTGAATAAAAAAAAAAAGTAATTGTATCTTATCGTAGTCCTCGCAGTTTTTTGGCTCTAGAAAATCGAAAAATCATCTGATTTTAATGAAACTTGTTCTAAAATCTTCATTTTCATAGCAGATTTATGAAAAAAATTACAAAAAATATTTTACCTAAAGATTTTATATTGTTTTAAGACTTTAAATGTTATCATAAACACACCTCTTTTGTATATAATCGTTAATAACTTTTTTGCAAGTCGTCGTATAAAGTTGATCTATTTTTTTCATTAATCTGCACAAAAAAACAATAATTTTGAAAAAAAAAATCATGCAAAAATATTTATTTTTCGATTTTTTACAAATTAAAATCGTACTTATATTTCAACAAAAATTATTTTTTTTTTCTCCAATAATTAAATAAATATAAATATTTTCTAATAATTTAATAGATAAAAATATTAATAAATAATTTAGATAATAGAAGGAATAAATTCATTCAAAAGAATTATATTAATTGTATTAAATAAAAAAAAAATAAATAAATAAAAGTTCCAAAAAGTACTTACCTTTACACTTAACACACATTAGCTCATCACTATAATTTTTCACTAATCTTTCCAACAAACAACAATAATATATTTTTATATTACTAACGAGTTCACGGTCAAATGCGTTGACATACACACTAGTATATTGCAAAATACGCGTGCACGATAAATACTTGCGTGTGTGCAATTAAAAGGAAAATATGTAAGTCTTAGGTATTTCATCACATCCTTCGACAATTATTAATATAAATGTCCATAAAAAAGGATATAGTCAATAAAAATATCGATAGGGTCAACAACAATATGTACAAATGTAAGTTTGTTATTGATGTTATTTAACTGACAATGCGTTGGCGTAGTCACGGATAATATAACTGCTGCTGCAGTAGTAAACCACTAACGTAGGTGGGTTTAAATTCCAATCTTGTCTCACCTCTTGTACCTTAATTCATTGTTCGATACAATAGAGATTGTCAAGCTGCTAAGATTTCATGTTATTTTTTTTTTCCTCTTAAATAACACCAGTCCGACCCTGAACTACTGCAGAGGTTAACAAAACATTCAATTCATGCTTTTATTTATTTCAATGAAAATTAGTTGTAAAACAGTCTGACACAACAAGGTCCTACATGTCTTTGAAGTATCAACATCTTGAAATGTTCATGTCATGATTGCGAGGATGCTCGGAGCCTATCACCAAGCGCAACCTATCACGAACAATACAATGGAGGAGTGTTCATGGCTATATTTAGGTGTTAGATTATTTACCACTGAGATATGGAGATCTGAATTCAATTGGGAAATACTCAAGTGGGATTGATGTTGGCCCGGAAAGGCAAACTGCTTTGATGAATATGCAACTTGTTGGAGATTCCCGAAGAATAGTTGTGGACATCAATTCTATTCGATATTCTATCAACCTCTTTTTATTCATCAAACAATCTTTAGAGCGATTTAAATATTTCGATGTATCGTTCTTGCCAAGTCTCGTAGCATTTGATATATTGAATTGACACGTAAGAGACAATTAAATTGTCAAACAAGGACTCGAGATTTTTTTATATGGGCTGTCGTATTTTTTTTTTGCCCAATACTGGCAGTATATACAGGAATGTTAAGAAAATTAAATGTTCGAAGACATTTTGAGCCCAAATTATTTTTCAGGCCCATAACCCGCCTAATTTAAGCTCAAAAATATTTTTAAAACTTAAAAAAAACCTGGAAAATATTTTTGGGCATGTTAAGGGCCTAAAAATTCTTTTTGGGCCTGAATGGAGCATGTTAAGGGCCTGAAAAATATTTTTGGGCCTGAATGGAGCATGTTAAGGGCCTGAAAAATATTTTTGGGTATATTAAGGGCCTGAAAAATATTTTTGGGCCTGAATGGAGCATGTTAAGGGCCTGAAAAATATTTTTGGGTATGTTAAGGGTCTAGAAAATATTTTTGGGCCTGAATGGAGCATGTTAAGGGCCTGAAAAATATTTTTGGGCATGTTAAGGGTCTAGAAAATATTTTTGGGCCTGAATTGGGTATATTAAAGGTCTGAAAATTATTTTTGGGCCTGAATTGAGCGTGTTAAGGGCCTGAAAATTAATTTTGGGCATTTGAAGGGCTTTGAAAATATCTTGGGCTTGAATACACGCATTGATATTCAATAATATTTCACCAACACAGACCCAATTAACTGCACCGAGTTAATTCTGTGTAAGTGAACGTATAAAAAAGTAAATTCCGTGCACCTAATTAGCTCTAAAACTGTAGTCTTAGAAGGCACGTGTAAATTATTATCATCATTTGTGGGTCAGAAACAATTGCTACTCAATCCTCTATCAACTCTACTATAGATAACAATCTGATCAATTTTAAGGGTATTATTTTGTCCTTTCCATCTTATATCAAATTAATTAATAAATAGTAAATTGAACTTGTTCTTGTGGAATTAAAAGTCGATAAGAATTGAGCAGCAATCGTCACTGTGGCGATTAATAATTAATATATAATTGATTCATATGGTAGTGAGATATCGCATGCGGAAAAGTTGGCAGCGTTCGCCACCTAGCGGACTCAGAGGAACTAGAGTTCCTTTTCGAGAAGTGTGCGGTACCTTCGAATACTTTTTTATTATTTTACGGGTCGGATTCCTGTATTTGATCTTCTATCAATGATGAATTTAATTAGAGTTTTTATTTTATTAAATAATTAAAAAAAAATTTCAAATTTATTGGGGATTTGAATTAAATCATTTAATTAAATAGAACTTTTTCAAGTCGAGTATATTATAAAGTTTATAACGTTCAAACTTTCCAGTCTTTTAGAGATTAATAATCAACTCGATAAAAAGTGCAATAATAAAGAAATAAATAAAACCATAAAACTGTCAATTAATATTAGATCTCGTTGTGTTACCGATACCTGTTTGGAGTGAATGAGACGTAGGATATTGTAGTCAACTCACGTAGAAAGTTAAATTGTAATCCAAATCTACTCCTGCACCTGACCTCAGGAATTGAGATTAATATGATCAAAATCCTTAAATGGGAGATCTATTTATCACTCAGGGTAAAATCGGAATAGTTGTTAAAGACGTTACATATCGATATTCCCATATACCACATTTATCAATAATATAAAAAGTACCGCTATATAATTGGAAAACAGACTCGATTATTTTTAATCACAAATCACTTTGTTGTTTATTCTCTATATGGTTATTTTCGCTGTTTATTTCATTTATTTCAAAGTTATTTTCATTTACTCCAATCTCACTTTTAATTACGACAAAAAATTCTAAGCAATTTCAATTTGAGGCATAAATTGTTAATAAATAAAATAAAATAATGAAAAAAGAAATTGAGCAGCAGTAAACAATTCTCTGTAGCGCTTAAAATACTAGTCATTTATAGGTTAATTTATAGGTCTTTACACAATAAGGACTACGCATGCGCAGAAGAATTATAATACATAAGAATTAAGTAGTGCGCATGCGTAGTCCTAATTCTTAGCTCTTAGTTCTTATTTCATTCAATCGTGCTTTAATGCTTATCAAAACAGTTTTTTTAGTTTAGAATAATTAAATTAAGATTAAAAGTCAAGAAAACGATCCTTTAAGAAATTTCAATTAATTTTAAAGAGAAAAATAATTGGAATAATTCAAGTCACGAATAAACTTCAATCCTCAAAGTTGCACTCGAGTATTTGAATCTGACATTCAAATGTCAGCTCTTTGTTTGCTCCAACGATGAGGATCATTCATTCAAATCTTACTCGTTATAAATACCTTCTGCTTTACACCCATTATTTTTCAACGACTTAAGAATATTTTTCTTTGCAAAAATTCTTATTATACTTTAAGAGAAAAATTAAAATGTCGTCTATATATCAAAAAATGATAACAATAACCCAGATAAGAATCAGTGTAAATAAATAATGTCATTGTTGTAACAAGCTACAAGTGATATCTACAGATCTAATAATGTAAGATATAATGAACGGTAAAATCGTTAATATTTTTATTATGAAGTGCAAAAAGCAGGAGTGAACAGTCATTAAATCTGATCTGCAGCCTGTATTTCCTGGATAGAAGTGAGGGAATGCTACTTATCTGGTAGACACTCCCAGGAACTCACATACCACCCACTGCCTACTGTGTTTATTAGTCATCGCTGTAAGATTAATAATTGCAATGTAAAGAGAGCAATTATTCTCCAAGGATCACATAAATATTTATGTATATTAAAAAAAAATTACATTTGATTAACTAAACGATTAATTAATTGATAACTTACTTATTTTTATCTTCTAGACAAGAGAAAAATAATTATTGAATTTAAAATGCTTTAGAAATATTTCTCTAACAAGTACTAGTATTTTTATTACATATTTTTCAATAATTAATTTAAATAAAAGATTTAAAATCATTCTAACAATGCATAATTCATTTTTTATCTTTTATCAATGCTTGTATACATTAATTGCAGTATTTTATATCGATACTTGGCGCGGGCGCCGCGAGGTGGCGTCTGCCAATTAGTCTTCTCGCATGAGCCTAATGGTAATTGAATGTATATATCGTTCTGGTCATGATTCAAGGGGTTTAATTTTATGATTTCATTGACAATTAAATAGTTCTATGTTAAAACTGTTAAATAATGAAATGACAATCATGTAATTAAACCATAATATATTTTTGATTGGAAAAATAATCAGGTACACTGGAAAAAAAAATTCTTCTGCTACAATAGTAATCAATTACACCAACTATTACCTTTAAATGAATATTCTGCAGGTTTTTAGGTTAAGTATAAATATTGAATTGTTTGAAGAATTTTTTTTCGTTGAATGTAGTATCTGTTTGAACTCCCATACAGCAGCAGAAGCAATGTAATCAAATACTAGTATCTTTAACAAAAAAAAAATATCAATAAATAAATAAAGATGACTCGATAGTTTATGAGTTCATGCAAAGTTGTCACGATGCAGTTGCGTTAAGCTGTATTTCTCCACGATGGAATGGCAAACCTCCGCAGATTATCGTATGATTCGAGGTAAAGTGGTAGGTATAATAAAAAGGCCGCCAGAAGAAGAATACGAGGGAGCGTCCTGGCATTTGGGACGTGATTATACAGGGAGTGGAGGAGAGATGAGAGTATACTCCATATGATCACCAGGTATGTGCACGAAATCCGATATTGAAAATAAAGAAAACCTGTCAAAGAATTTTATTTTGTTAAGAAGATTATATTGAAAGCTATATGGGTTATAAATTAGCAAATTATTCGTAATAAGAATTTCAAAAATACTCCTCTAATACATGATTACAATAAACACTTGATTGCTTATTTGACATTTAAAAATTTTTGATCATTCATTTTCTTTTTCTCTACTTACTGAAACTAAAAAGCTCTTCTTGAGCTTTAGAGCTTAATAACTCTGGTAAAAATTGAGGTACAGACGTGAATCAGTGCTCATTGGAAAGCTTGGAATCTCCTCTTTGAAATGACATCAAAAGTTTTTTAAAGAAAAATTTTTTTATGAGAATTAACAATACTTTTCTCTTAGAACTTCATCAGACATGTCAGCAGAAAAAAGAGAATCGACCTTGGAGTTCAATATTTTTTTACGTAGCATTGAAAAATCGAAAAAGCTTTAATAATCAGTGTTTGAAAAACTAGAAAATGCGATCTATATTATGCACTCAGTTTCATTTCGATAAAAAATTCTGCCGCCAATCTACAGCTTTTTAAACATTATCTACAATTTTAGCAAAAAAAGGTGGCATGAGTTGTTGTTTACAAATAATTTATTTAAAAAAAAAATTTAACTACAGTAATTGTTTTTCAATTTTTGTGATATTATTCATAATTACCTCATTCATAAAGTCTTCAACTCCCACGATTAACGCCAGTTTATGATTAACGATTAGTGAATCATAAAGAATTCTAACTCATCTCAATCCTCGCTGATGGTAATTGCAGTTCAATAGATAATGGCGCCGACCCAGTAGGCAAAAGATATAGGATGAGATATAATAATACACATAAAGGAGGATGAAAGCGTGATTCTCACAGACAACGCTCGTGAATGAAAGATACAAGCACAATAATGGGAAATGTACATTGACCTATTCAGCGGCGGATTCATGGATGTGATTTAATGTCGAATCGATAAGGAATCGTGAATCGTTGTAAACATTTATTATCCCCTATACATACACAAACACACATACAAAATAACCGTGTGAACTCACTTACACTTAACTCATCTCTTTTACTGTTCTATAATAACTCTTCAAACCTCCGACGTAAATCTTTCTAACGAAATAAGCCTCAGGAATATCCTTTAAAGGACAGTAACTCTTGTTTTACATTCAACGTTTATCCATTTTTAGTCTTCGTACAAGTAAACAATTTGTTATTAATGAAGGAAAATTATTCAAATTTTTTTTTTTACTTTCTGAAAGTCTTTCTTATGCTGACTTTTCAAACTTGACCTGCCTTTTTTACATTAATTAAAAGAATACCCATCATTTTTAAATAGCGAAATTTTTTTACACCACACAATTTAAAGTTAAAAACACCAAAAATTGCAAGAATAAAGTATTATGTGCAATTTTTTAAAAGTCTTTACATAATTAAATGAAATAAGAATAGAAATAGGCTGATTATTGCGGCCACGCATGCGCATGAATCAACTTTCTTGTGCGCATGCGTGGCCGTAGTATTTAGTCCTGATTTTAATCCTTATCTATCCCAATTGTGTGCGGTCTAATTAATAAATTTGACTGTAAAAAACAGTCATAAGCAGAAACTCGGGAAATTTAAATGTTTTGGCACCAAAATATAAAGGTCAATCAAGAAAAGTACAGTTAATAAATATGATGATGATTGGTGATTTCCGACCGAGTGATTGTGTAGAATGGAAAAGAAAGAAAAGAATTAGAAGAGTTAGATAATGTAGTTCAAGCCTTGTGGAAATAAATAGCTCGACTTTCATCCTAACCCACTTGAACCTACACCAGAACAATAATAAAGCATGCAAGACATCTTCTCTCACTGTTGTTTGCCAATAATTTGAGCACGCGATGTTGGAGGAGGTTCACGTCCTCGGGAAACATGTGGCGACATCCGGAGAAAGTAATCAACGTTGGAGTTCAATGACCATCAAAATAAAATAACAACATCAAGTACCCTAGCACACCCACGATGCAGTCAAGAGAACGAGATGTAAGTAGTGAGGTTAGAAAGAGACTCATCAAAAAAATTCCTATCAATTCCTAAGACATGAGCTCATGATCCAGGATGATGATGGATGATATTTTCAAACACACTAGAGTGCTAGAGTGACCTTTAATCAATAAATGGTAAACTAAGAAGACTATCTATTAATTGCCAATTCTCATAAAGTATTGTAGAACAATTGTCAAATAATTGATCAATTAATTTCTTGTGTTCCTTTCGTTTTCGCAGATTCAAGTCATGTCCTCGACACGTTTATCTCAAGTCTGAAGTGTCAATCAAATCAAGATATTGTCTCATATGATTAACGATACTTTCACTTGGCATTGGTTGAAGAATTGCTCTCAGATTGTTCCTTAAATTAAACTTCAAGTATTATCATTATTTTCTAAAATGGCTATAACACAACATAATTAGATCAATGATTGATTATTGCTGTAACTGACATTACAGATATTATTGATTCTTGACCATTGAAACGAATATCTGAGTATTTTAACGAGCTTCAAATAGCTAGCAATAAAGGATAGATGCAACAACTGCATAGACTCTAAGTGACTTAACAAGGTCGACCACCCACAGAATTGAAGGCTGTGATGTGTATGAGACTGACTACTTGACTTTAATGATCTCTCATTCCACAAACTTCTCAAGTTAATTAATTGATTATTTTCTACGCAATTTATTAGCGTGAAATTGAAAATTACTTTTTTTTTCATACAAAAAATGTTTACTGAAATTACGTATCATCAATTCACTTTTATTTTTTTTTAACATCCATTAAAAGAAGAGAAAATTCTTACCTGCAATAAATAATCAATTGTCCGAGGTAATCAAGGACACATTAAATAAAAGGTTCAATTAAATGTGTAGTAATCATTTATTTATTCTTCATTGATTGAAAATCATTCTAACAAAAATATTATTGTTTATCATCAGAGTCGATACCTTCATTATCGGATTTATTCCCAGTCGATAATGTCAGTTGTGTTGCTCAGTAGGTAATACGTCGATAATGAAGGTTCATTGATTATCGACGGTTTGTTTTACCAACTCAGAGTGGCGCTGCTATGTCGCAGAATCATTTCCAAATAAATATTCAAGGTAAAAAAATCAAATATAGACCAGAATGTAATATAAAAACATTTTTATTTAGTTATAATAGAAAAAGAAAAAAAAAAACGTATGAAGAGACTTAAAAAATAATAATACAATTGACAAAGTATAAAAAATTCATTTACAAATAATTAAATAATTTCATAAACATACAATTATTTATAATACTTCAATTTCTCACTGGATATAACGATTAAATATAATTATTTTTCTCTTATATTATTTTCACGACAAATATTACTTACAAATAATGAATAAAAAAATATTTATTTTATTTACAAATAAATAATGTTAAATAGCTAATATTTTGAAATAAGCAGAATAAATAAGTTAATAATTTATTAGATTATCACTTGATATGTATTTATAATATTCCATTTGCACCTTTGTGTATCTAAGGATTTTACTGAGCAAACTTACACAAAGTGCATGGATGAATTATCGAAAATGGTATTCCCTGATAGTCATGATATCGTTATCTCCAATTGTCAATGACTTGATGATACTTTTACTTCCTTATTTTTATCATCGTTTTAATTTATAATAAACTTCTTTTACTTTTCTATGCTCAAGGTCTAAGTAAAACTATCATTTCAAATAATTTCATTCATTAAGGCTGGACTTTTCATCGGTTTCCATCTTAGAAAATCCTCAAGAGTAGAGATATGACTAATTAATCAGCTTATTTGCAATGATATCCACTGATTAATAGAATTTAATTGGAAAGAAAATTGTTACCAAATTATTACTAGATTTTTTATGCTCCATTGCCATCAAGACAACATTCTGTGGGCACTAGTAGAGCAAAACTTTCAAGTTCAGCCCAGCCTTAGATGATTAAATAACTTTAAAATTGAAAAAATAATCTAAGTAATAAAAATAACTAAATATTTTGTGCTAAACTACCTTGACTTCTGCTTTTAAGACTTCATTTATTATCTACGAGACTTTTCTTATTAAAATTACTTCAAAGAGAGACTGGATACAGGTAACATTTTTTTCACTTAATCTATTATTGTCTTAATTAAGTACCTAACTCAATTATCACCTCATGTTCTAGGATTAATCACCTTATAAGTCATCATGATTGTCATTGTTGGTCTAAAAAAGCTCTCCAGCTTTTTAGTAATCAAAAACATACCTCCAGGCATGAAGGTAATTTCTGTATTTCAATAAAACTCCCCAATCACGTACCAGTCTCCTAGTCTCGTCAACAGGATCTCTTTCAACTGGACTCATGATGTTTCTATTCACCCTCACCTCCAGTGCAATGTCAGGAAAGACTGCGATGTTGCTCTCCAACTCACACAGCATCATCTGTAGGTATGATCTCGTTGCTCTTAAGGCTTCTCGGATCTTCAATGTCGTCTGGTCATTCAGCAACTCCTCAATAGCTACAGCAAACTTCTGCAGGTCTATGTGGAATTGAGGTAGGTAGCTGACAATCTGTAATAAAAGCACAACATTGTTAGACATCATTATCATTGATTCATTTATTATTTCGCAGATAAGTGATTGGAGAAAAAAGGTTAAGTTTGGAGCAAAATTGTGAATGAAAAATTTGTTATTACTAGGAAGTTGGATTTATTGGTCTGAATGAAGAATCTATTGGATCTTTTAGCATAATGTTTCATCATAAACTACATGGAAAGCAATGATTTAGCTGATAAGGATTGTTTATTCGTTATTTAATTTAAAAAAAATATATTGATAATTGCTATGTGATTGATTCAAGAGCACCATTGAGTTTAGAAGTTTAAATAAAAGAAGAAACGTGTGAAGCACACTTTAAATCACTAATTTCATGGATTATTTTAATTGGTAAGATGCAATTATTTATTATCAAGAGTTATAATTAATTGCACAATACAATTTAAGGTTAATTTTCAGCTGAGTTAAAATTGCAATAAAAAAATATAAGAAGAAATAATTTATTATTAATATAAAGGAAGAAGAAATTGTTAAAAATAGTTTGAAATACAACTGATGTATTTTTTGAACCAATTTATTAATAAGGTAAGTCAGAAGTGCTATGTAAAAATACAGTTGTTTAATTTTTATCATTTTTGCTTCACAATTCAGAATGAAGATAATTTATAATCATAGATTAATACAACAGTAGCAAATTTAATCTGATAATTATATCAACTTGTTAGTTAATAATTAAAGATAATTTCTTATTATTATCTGTCACCATCTACAAATTTTTTATAATTAAAAAAAAACAAATGAACAACCAAGCAAAAAATGCCTTTAATTGAAACTAATTTTTTCATTATTATCTTCAATTATAGCAGGAATAAATGTTTAAATTTAAAATTAAGATCGAACAGGTTAAAAATGATGAAAAAAATGTTAGCTGAATCGATTCAACTTTATTGACAAGTATTTAATTAATTAATTGTGATTGATAAATAGCACTTCAATGAGAATAACATTCTACACTGCAAATCCAAAGTGTGCCAAAGTAAACATACATACAAGTGTTCAATTTTAAACCCCTTCAACAAATTATAGATTCTAATACATTCTGAAGTGTGTTAAAAATCACTACAATGATCAATAGTTTATGTATCACAACTTAACCTCAAACACACTGGAGGTGTGCTATTTTAACACCCTTAGGAATGATAATCCAATTATATTTCTACAAAAGATAACTAAACATGTGACATTAAAGACACATTTTATCAAATTATTGACAAGAAAAGACATAATTTTGATTAAATAACCTAATAAAGCCCGAAGATGGTGGAAATTCCAGTGGAAGCTTTGCTCCAAGTTAATAACTAGAGCTCTTCATTACTTGAACATTGATTTAATCAATCTAATTTATTTTGAATAATAATCCTTTAAATTGAATCAATAAACTTCCTCTTAAATATTTAAATTAGTATTGAATATTCACTAATTCAACAAAGTAGAGTGAAAGGAGGTTATAATATTTGTCAGGATGAAGGACATGCAAGAAAGCTGAATAAAAGAGAGCATCAATAAACTTTATCTAGGTGTTATCAGTAACAAGTCGCGACAGGCGCATGATTACACAGTCATACAACCCGGGGAGTATGAGTATTCGACTGCCGTACGCAGTTTGAAGTGAATCGTAACAGCTTCTACTTGCCTGGTACGTTATAATAATTACTGTCTCATTAAATTTTGTTATTTAACATTAATCAATGGTCAATTAAATGATAAATATGTGATTTGAATGAAACTAAATGAAAATTTATCATAAATTAATCAACTATTTAGTCTTTGTTAGCAGCTTATATTCTCAATCAATTCCGATTAGACCACCACCTGGTCTATATTAATATTTATGAATACATTATTTCATTTTGTGCAGGAGTGAATGCGAAGGAGGAATTTAATCAAACTCATTAAGAAGCAGAGATGAAGAGAGGAAAGGAGAAAGTGTTATTCTATGCTAAATATAATTGACTTACAAACACCAGGATCATTTAGACCAAAAAAGAATGGGATGAAATGGATAATTAATGTGCTAGAAAAATAGGCAATAAATAATAACAAATAATATAAATAATTAACTTACCAATTGCATTGATTCACCACGCAATGCCCGGACTGAATTGACCTCTTCTTTCCCTGGTATCCAGTTCGGGATGTATTGATGATGATGGACTCCTATTCGTACACGTTCATATAGGAATCCATAATCTCGGTTGAGATAATCATTGAGGGTGAGCTGATGCTGGAGCTTAATGCTCTCCAGTCGACTTTTAATTTCTTCATCACTAACATCACTTGGTTCTGGTCTGATCACTTCACCACAAGGCAAATGCCAGAATGGCACGGTATATCTTTTGGTCCTTTGGAGAGGCTTGGAGGAACTGATGTACACCAAGCAACCCAAGATGATGATGGTCCTGATGAGTGTCGTCATGATGTCAAAATAAAAATTTAAATATAGCAATTAGATAATGCAATAACTATTGATAATGAATAAGTTGAAACACAGGTTGATCGTTGGAGATTAGATTGTGGTATTAAAAACAAGTCTCGCGAGTTGATGACGATCGAACACTGAGATTGACAAACCCTCGTGCTTCTTCCTTTATATATGCGATAATGTAAACAATCACATTACGTACGTACTTGTTGGACTCCTGGCGGGGGATAGACGTCTCTTTTTCATGATTACTTTGATTAAATTGTGATTTTGAAGACAAGTCTTTCTTGAAGTCAAATCCAAAACGTTGTCTATGATGTCATTAGCTATTATCACTAGGTAATAATGTACAATTTATAACGATTACTCTGATTATTCTAGTAATTAAGACATATGTGTTCTGAATCTTGATTATTTTTATACAAAATCTCTTCTTATTTGTCTAGTTTATGACTTTATTTCATGGTTTATCCAGATTTTTTTCAACCACATTCTGGAATTATTAACACACTTATTTGTCTGGTGAATACCACGTGGTATTGACTGAATGTATTTTGCTTCATTCACGTCAACTTTCCTCGAACTGATACGCCAAAAGGTGTCTGTGCAATATCTATTGAATATTTCACATTGCTGAGAAATCCCTTGAATAGTTTGTAAGTCAGCATGATTTTCACACGTCAATGAAATTCTGATAATGTTTATTTAGTGATTCAATTGGTTATTCCATCATCAGTGGCTAGTATCTTTATACGTGATCTCAATATCATCTTTTGATAGACATAGTGATGTGTTGATTATTTTTTATGAGATGTTTGATATCAATTTTCTTGCTATTATTTCTTATTTATCCATGCTACCAGGTGAATACTTAATATACCACTGGCATTTTTGTATCTTTCAACAAGTAATTAATCTTATCAGTTAAGAAATGTATATCCGGTTAAGTGGATACAAATAAACGAGTAGCGATAAACGATAATGTGATCTCTAGGTAGGTTTTTGAATCATTTTTCATTATTTCTGCTTTTCCTGTTTGTCAGGAAGTTGATAGTTTTGGAGATTAGTTTGATGGAAAATGATTTCTTCGATCATTCTGGTGGAGTAGAAATCAACAGGAGCATGGCAAAAAGTTGGATTTAATTAAAACTATGAATCATTGATGAAGATAATTTAATTTTGATAACTTTGAAGTTACTCTGAAGGACTTAGCTCTCGTTTTTGAAGTTAATGATTGTTATGTAGTAACTTATGTAATTTTTTAGAAGCTAAATGAATCATCAGAAAGAATGTAACTCTTCTGTACGAGGTGTTTTGGTGATTTATTAACTTGCGATTAGGAAGTGGTTGTAGTGGAGTTAATTTCTGAAACTCGTAATTTCATGATATCTCCGCATTTTGGAGTATAATGCTGGGTAGTTTTTGAGAAGATGTGTGTAGGTATGTCAGGGTTTTTTTTGTTCACGAAATCTCGAGAATGAATGAAGATATCGACTTTGTACTAATTTTATTCGAAAGATAATGCGATAAAGAAGATCTCAAAGAAGTTTCAACTAATTCGGTCGAGCTGTTTTTTTATAACAAAGAAACTACGAGATAAATAGAGTGATGGAGAAGTGGAAACACATTCTACCTATTGGATGATCAATATTAATATGTGATTGGGTCAACATCAACAAAGTATGGTTATACACAACTACACATGACTCTTGACAACTCTATATTGTTTATAACAATTTAAATGAGTTATAAACAATGAAAAATAGTTGCTACCGATGAAGTGATGACTGCTGCTGATAGATTGGATCTATATTAACTAAATATTCTTGTCAATCACCACCCATGACTCTCACCTACTTCATATTGTTTATAACAATAGCAATTTGTTGTAAACAATTAAAAAAAGTTTCCAGCTATTGAATGATCATTATTGATGATAAATCAGACCAACATTGACGAAATATTGTTGTTGTTAATACCTACACATAACTCCAGACCATTCATCATGTAAGTACCAAGTGCACTTAGACATATTTTGTCAACCTTTTAATGAATTTCCAAATTTTCTTTCAGGATTTTCATCACAATCATAAAGCACAATAGCTTTATCATAAGACTAGGATCATCAAACTCCAATGATTTTTATCAGAATTAAAAAATGCATTGAAGATGAAGAAATTTCCACTTGTTCCTGTCTTATTAAATATTTTGAAGAAGCTAAATTTTTGCAAGTATTGATTATTTTTAAAACATCATATTGAACAGTGAACTATAATTAGCTGCAATATTAAACCGAGTAGGAATGCGACCAGAGAATTTCTCTTACATACACCTTCGCATTTATCTGGGACTGTGACTCGACCACTACGTCACTATTGAAGAAATAGACAACGTAATATTGGGCTTATTAATAATGTCGAATCATTCTCTATCTCGTTTACTTTCGTTTGTTTACATTCGATCGTAATACTTGGTAAAATCGCTGTACAGTCACCGAATTCATTGATTTTCTAGATGTATGTTATCGCTAGGGTGGTATTTACACCGACAACTACTTCCTGTGTCAGCTTGCATCTTTCTTTGCACTCCTGATATATCAGTGTTTCTTTTACGGCATTTCCGAGTTGATAGAAACTTTGGAATTTTTTTTTCAGCAATTCATTGCATAGATATTGATGTGGTGAGTCAGAATAAACTTCTCTTATTATTGAGCTTTTAATTCTTTAACAATTATTATTATTATTACAATTAAAACAATTGTTCAACTATTTTTTTTTACATTTCAGGTCATTGTCTAATAGATCTCAAGTGTGATAAAAATTTTTTAAATAACATTTATGGATGATTCCAAAATTCGTTGAATTTTAAAGCAATGAAGGTGAGTTTTATGCAATGGTAGAGCTTTATTGAGCTTTTGTAGAGTTGAAAAAAAATTTTTTAGAAATATCTTTAGATTCAGTTACGTATTATCTGATATAAAGAATTAATTTCAAGAAAATAGAAATGCTTGGAAGAATTTATTTAATTAATTTCCTTATCAACAAATAACAGTAGAGGGTAATGAACTGATGTTTAAAGCTTTTTTCTTATGAACAAAATTGTTTATTTCATTTTAAGAAATTTTTATAAATACATTGGATTATTGTCCAATTTAAATAGTTGATTTTAAAAAAAAAATTGTTTGAATAATTTTTGTTTTTTATTGGATATGTGTATCATTAAATAAATAAATAGTTTTAATAATTAACTATTTTAGATAAAATTTAATACAAAATATACAAATTTATATACAATCATATAGAATCATTAATTGTTTATAAAAAACAATTAAGTTTTATATTTTTATTTGTTAAAAAAAAATTAATAAATAAACAATATTTAAATAAAATCATTATTTTATTATAATTCACTAAAAACTTTAATTCAACTCAGAAAATTAATTAAATTGTCAAGAATTAAAAATAAATATCGCAGAATTATTTATTGAGATTTCTATTCATGTTGAATATTTATTAAATTAAAAAAAAAAAAATTTATTTATAATGAATTATTTTTTATTTTAAAAAGAAATGAAAAAATGATCGATTTAATTACGAATTTTACGAAGAATAAAAAGCAAAAGGGTTGAAACCCTCTTCTGTTAGGACTCTACACCCTCGTATATCTACCCTCGATCCCTTTCTCAGGCATACTCCAACTCTTTTATACAAAATAAAAATGATTACAATGTTAAAAATTATTTATACATGTTATTACATTGTTAACATGAACTAGGAGGATGTTAACATATTGCGCAGGTCCGTATCTCTTGTGATGTATTGATAAGGACGTGATGTAATGAGACTACTTTGTACTTCATAAATTCCTGATAAATACAATTAAATAATTTTCATGGTTAACTTTTATTTTGTCAAAAACAAAATTTTGTAAAAAATATTCTTTACAATATTTTACTTTATTCTATCCAATAAATTCATTTTAATTAATTGATTAATTTAAAATAAATACCGGAGAAGTTTAATGATGGTTAATTAAAAGGTATAAGTGTCAGTATAAAATTAAATTTTATTTCAAATTGTTATTACAATTGGCATAAAAATAAAATAAATAATATAAGTACAGATTGGTAACGTAATAAATTAAATACACCTTAATATTATTACAATGGTAAATAAATGTAAATGTATGCCCGATAAATATGATAATACACTGTAGAAAATACACTCACATGTTTCTTAGTTACATTAAACAAAAAAAAATAATAATAAAATAATAATTTATAGAATTCATGTGAATGTTACAAATGATTATTTACTTGTCGAAAGCAAAAAAAAGAAGGCATTTCTTTAAATGATATCAATTATCAGAGAAATTTAAAATTACCATGAGATTCATGAAATGTTATCATACTTATTATAATAATGTCTTTCATAAAAAATAAATTTTAAAAAAATACACTCAGAGTGATAATAATACACAATTAGTGAAAAAATGATACTTTCCCCATTTCGAAATCCAATTTAATGATAGAAACTCTGTTTCTTCATGTATCTTTTACAATATCACAGTTAACAACTTCAAGCTTACATTAAAAAATATTTTACATACTTAACTTACACTAGACATTGAAATTATCAAAAAAGAAAAGAACAATTATGTAGATTGAATAATTAATAATTAATTATTACAACTAACAGAGAGAGAGAGAGAGAGAGAGAAAAAAAATTGGATGTCTTAAATAAACTTATTTATAAACAAAATTCTTAATGAATTAAAGAATGTTTATGCAACAAAAATTGATAATTTATGCTTACAATAAAAAATATAATACTGCTTTAAAAGTTAATTAATTAAGTAAACTTTATAATACTGGTTTCCAGTTTATAAATATTTATGCAAAAAAACAAATAAAAAAAAATTGTAAAAGTGACAAAATTTATCACGATTTTCAAATAAATCCTGTTTGATAATTACTTTTACAATGATTATGACAAAAATGAAATAAATAATTAGTGAATAACTACGAATTAAATATTATCTATATAAACAATATTTATCAATGTATCATTTTTTTTCTTCGATTTTTCAAAAGCCTTCTCCGTTTTTTCGTACGTACAACATGACTGTTGTTACCTAAGCTTAACTGACTGTTTGATGACCCTGAACTATTACTGCTACGTTTAGCTGATTTATTATGTTTCTTCATTTGAGCTAATTTCTTAGCTTTCAGTCGCTTCCTCTTTGGATTTCTGTGCTTTGGATAATGGACCAAAGGTTTGACGGAGTTGGGATCACAAGTACCAGGACCAATAGCTGTAGCATTCCTGAAAGCTCGGATCCAGTCATTGAGAAAGGCTTGATACAATCGTAAAACACCCCAATCTTGGATCAACATCAGTGTCAAATCACCCTCAGTAGCCCAATCAGTGCTGTCTGTTACTACTGATGTCTTGTGGGACTTTGGTAGTTGGAGACCCAGGTTTAGAATGGCTGTTTCTACTTCGCAGAGCATCTGGAAGTGATAAAGGTCATTTAATGATGATTACAGTGAATATTTATTAATAAAATAAATCTAAACTACTTCATAATAAGATCAATGAACTAATGAATGAATAACATGGCTGATTCATAGACATACTGAACATGTCATTCATTTACTGATGCATTCAATTATCTTTTGCAATTCTATCAATTAATTTTAGTGCTACTGTAAGTCTAAGAGAGACACCCAGGCTTTCTAAGAATGAACAGTAACGAGAAAACAAAAAAAAGTTCAATTAAATGAAAATAAATTTGTTGTAAAACTTATCATTAATTTAAAAATGGGTACATTAAATATTTTCCTTGATAAATAATAAGCAGCAGTTCTTAAGATATTAAAAACAAAAAAAACCGGAGATATGTACGGGTAATTATACGTACGGACAATTGTGAGTATGTAAATAAATTTACTTTAAAAAATTCTAATATGCTTTTAAATGTCTCAAAACAAAATATCAAAATTATGAGTCCTGTTTTGCCCCAATCTTCCTATTTTAGGTTACAAATTTCGGATGACCTTGGAATTGAAATATCTCATATTTGAACTTAGTCTGGACATTGAACTGTTGTTTAATTAATGTTAAATAAAATTATTCAATAAACAAAGATCATGAACGATTCAATCATCATTTTATCTTGATCTAATTGCTTTCTTTGTAAATTGAGCCGAAAATGTTGGAGCCATTTTTTTCCTGCGTTATTTTATGAAATAAATATTATTAAATCAGAGATAATGTTAGAGAAAAATAAATAAATATTAATGATATTCAAAAATAAAATAATTACCCTAAGTACTTCGTTCTGCATTTCAGTGATGATCTCATTGCGTTTGGTGATTTTATACTCGACATTGATATTGGACTGAAGCCGGAAGAGTTTGAGCGAATGAAAAGTAATGGCAAATCGTTGAAGAGCATCATGTAACCTGGGTAGAGCAAATTCAGCTTTTTTACTTTTCTCCATACACCAGAGTTCTTTGTGATACCATTCGAGTTGATTTTTAGGCAGCCAACTGAGGTGATACTGTCCTTTTAATACTTTGTAGACCTGGAAAAAGATCAAGAATAAATGAATGAATATCACTGAGGTATGTCTGTTGGATCATCATCATTATTATTCAGTTGAATATGATGAATACATGATTGAGTCGTAGGTTAACTTTCAATGAGTATCAATGACTGCCTACTAACTATTAGGTATCGACAAATTAGGTTAACTCATCAATTTTTCTCTTCATGTTCAATAAAGGCTTTTTATTTATAGATACGTAACACTAGAGTATAAGTGAATTGTTTAAAAAATCATCAGGTGGAGATAAAATATGAGGATTACCTATATTAGATATAAATATACGCGTGGATATAACTGCTGGTTAAATGCTTAGTCAAAGTGTGCTGAGACTAAACAATCTCATCTGTCGTTTGATGGGATAGCGACTTGTCATAAACTAATGCAGCCTGTTTTGAATTAATTTGTGTTTTTTTTTCTTTTATCTTGGCTACTCAATGAACATTCATCATATTCGGTGGGAAAATGTAGACTGGAATTTTAAATAGACAGAGTTATGGTTTGAAATTAGAGACTCATTGGGTGATGCTTGTTTTGAAAATATTCGACAGCATGATTATTTTTTTTAGCCCACCCAGTTAAATCTTAATTTCATCTTCAATTTTTTTTTTTTTTCAATGTTAGTAATTATCACTTTTCAAATTCATAAAGAATAATTATTAAAAATTTTTAACAACTGATTTTTATTAATTAAAATAATAAAAATATTTTTAATTATAATTAAATAGTTAGTGATAAATATTATTGATTGAAGCTGTTTTGATTATAAAATAAAACATTTGATGTTGGAAGCCATTGTTGAAAATTTTTTTAACAGCTAATTAATAAATTTTTATTTTATTCCTTTTTTTTTAATATTTTTAAATTTTCTTTGTATTATTTATGTAACTAATATAAGCTTCTTTTGAAGTTCAAAAGCTTAACAAAAAAAAAAAAAAAGAAATTTTTTTGATAAACAAATTGTTTAAAAGTATTTGACAATTTGTTTTTATAACCTCTTATGTATTTTTTAAAATTTTACAATTATTGCTATTTTATTTATTAACTGAGACATTTTTATTTCTTTTAGCTCAAAAAAAGAGTGTAATAAATTTTTAAATACTTTATTATTAATTGGCAATGTTGCATAAAAATAAACAATACTTTATTAATCATTATTAAATCATTAAACGATAAAAATCATTACTTCAACCCGCAATTTCAATCATTCTAATTAATTTCAACGATAAGAATACTTTTTTATCACTTCCAGACAACTTATTTAAACGTTCAAATACATTAAAAAATTTTTTACTCCAGAAATTATTGGATTCTAACCTACAAAAAATCGTTCTTTTCCCAACCAATCATCAGATGTGATAAAAAAAAAGCTGAAAATGAATATAAAAAAACTATTTACATTGTTTAGAAGGATAGTATGTACTTTTTAAGATCAATTACCTTGGAATAAATATCATGAATGAGTTTGAGATCTTTTCTGAAGTGATTTTGAGCGACCCTTAATTGAATGCGAACTCTTTTGAGTGCTCTATGAACACTATGTCTTTGTGGTGCTTTTTTGAGGGATGCAGCACCTAAGGGTGTACCGCAAGGTTGTTCCCAAGGTTCCATAAAATGATGGGGTTCAGAGTTGACTCCAAGATTGTAAGCTGGTGCTGCTGATACCTCGAAGCAGCCAAAATCTGAACTACTGAGGAAAAACGCCAAACTTGTCAAGGCAGCTGTCTGTGCAAACGAATCTGTAATGAATAAAAAATATCATTCGTTAGCTATTGAATGAATGATTAGTATCAACAAATAAGGAGTTTGAACAATTATAAATTTGCAGTTAATCTGAACTCGAGTGTCGAGAAAAGAAAATAGAGAAAGCGAGGTTAGAAGAGATTATGAATGGGCGAAAGAGATACAGTGGAAGTGGCAATTGCAGAGAAACATGATCATATGTGTGTTTTATTCCGTAGGCTCTTCCGACTTTCACGCATATGCTTGCTATCTGCTTTAGTATGAATATAATAATAGTGTAAGTAATATAGAAATGTACAGGTACTTGGCACCAACAAAGTTGGGTGCACCCACGCTTCAATGTTTTAACGTTGGACACCTACGCAAATAGGAAATCAGTTGCAAATCGAAGAACTGCAATTTATTGTACAATTAAATTTCTCACTAAGCGACTTCCTTTGTTCTTCTTCACACTTTTTTCAAGCTTTCATTTCACTTGGTGGCTGTTTTTTTTTGTTTTGATGTTTCATCCTAAATGGACTGGAATGAGAATGATTTTTTATCAGGTAAGAAACTTGTTAATGAATTTTTACCAATATTGTTAATACAATTAATTGACATTGATTATAAATAATTCATTTTTTCTAGATTTATTCCAATTCAAGCTTCTCAACAATACATCACTGTTTCACTTTCTGGATGATCAATGAATTCTATTATGGTAAGTACTTGTTATAAATTAATAATCAGTCTTGTTTTATTATCATTTAATAAAACTATTTTTGAATTTTAATAACATTAATTAATTTTTATGAGGTGAATAACAATGGGATGATTATTGATTGTCAATTATATGTAATATTAAATAATTATTCAAATTATTGGATTGGTGAATGGCAATCTGATGCAGAATAAAAACAGACTCGCGTAAGTTTGATGAAAATTCTTATCTCAGGGATGGTTATTAGGGCTGTCTTTCGACAAAAATAGAATACACAAAGTTGGTTAAGTGTATTATTCCATTTTAATCATTCAATACACATTTTTCCTCACCACTTCGCAGCCCTAACCTCCTACTTGGGTTTAATTTATGAACTAGTACATTTGTTACTCATTAAATGATCATGGTGGGATAAATTGAGCAATCTAAGACATAGGAGGTTGATTGAAAATTATTTAATTCAAATTAAAAAGCATTCTTGACTAGTAATTCACCAAAAAAGTATCCAACAAAGCATATCGACTATTCCACAGTAGAATTTTTCTTCATCTAAAAAAAAAAACATCTCCCAAAGTATTTCCCAAAGATCTCAAATCCGAATAATAATTTATAAAAACCATAATAATGGAGTCGATGCTTTGACCGGTCGTTAAAGTTGCTATGATCAGTGTTGGGATGTCATGGATATTCGAGCTGCTCCAGCAGACAGATTAGCGGTCGTGTGTTCACATTAGCATTTAGTCTGATGCTCACGAGACACAGGACTAATGCGTAGATAGTAGATATATCTCACGGTAGAACCTGGCCATAAAACTACTCCGTCAAAGCGTTTTAAGTTGCTTATATATAGGGTTGCAGGTTATAGAGTTTCTTTTTCCTCGTGGACTCTCTCTATGCCACTCTCTTGTCTCTTATATACATAACACGCATGTTCTCATATTCGATCCCATCCTCTTGTTGGGATTTCTCTTTCCTCAATTCCAACGCTTGTATTGTCTACTACGGCGGCTTTGCGTTGTCGTAAATTAACCTAGACGTGTGCTGCTTCCTATACCCTTCTCTTACGGGTGAGATGGCCATAGTGCAAAGATCACTTGGATACCTGCTTCGCTCAGTTATCTATCAATTGAATTTATTTTTTTATTGAAATAATTATTTTTGGTTCTTCTTGAATTTAATATTATAAATCACTTATTTAAAGAAATATCTTTTTATTTTATCCTGATCCATTTTAAAATAATTTAGTGACTTGGATAAATAAAACGAAATTGCAAATAAAAATTATTTGATCCATTTAATAGGAAAATAAATTAATAACCATTCTTTTTAATCCTTTGAAAGGACAATATGACTTCAATATAATTATTTTCAGACATTTTAATGCAAAATTATAATTTAAAAAATTATTTTGCAATTTTTAATGTTAAATTAATTGCAAAGATAATTTTTTTTCAAGCTCCAAAATGGAGAATTAATTTTAAAAAAATTGCAAATAAAAATTATTTGCTTCCTTTAATTGTAACATAAATTTAAAACCATCCTTTTAATTATTTTAAAGGACAAAATGACTTCAATATAATTATTTTCAGACATTTTAATGCAAAATTATAATTTGAAAAATTATATCGCAATTTTTAATGTTAAATTAATTGCAAAGATAATTTTTTTTCAAGCTCCAAAATGGAGGATTACTTTAAAAAAAAATTGCTGTTAAAAAATGACTGACAAAAGGACCAAAACCCACTACTGCAGCTGAATTAAAAATAATCCTGGTGACAGAATGTAAAAAATGAAGAAATAAATAAATTTTCCTCATCACTTGGAAAATTAGTTACGACATAAGCTCATAAAATTTTATAGCCAAATGGTATAGGAGGTAATTGTCGTCAGCTGTTAACAGAAAATTCATCTCATGAAAGAGAAAGGGGTGACGTGTACTAAGTATAATAAAAATAATCGTAAAAATAATAAATAAAATTATTTTAGCCAATAAAAATTCTATAGAGATATTTTGATGATCCTGAGAAAATTCGGGTTCAACATAATATCTATATAGAAATATAACCTGTTATTTGTCATTAAACAGCACAAGATTAGTAATTATTTCTCAATAAAACATTTAATGAACATGAGAGAATATTTTTATATCTCATCATCCTTAGCAACTTCATTAAAATATTTATTGTCATTTCATTAATATTTAAATACACAAATAAATATTACTTTGTATTTATTTCTCTAACATCAATATAACACATTGGAGATTATTTGAAAGACTTGTTAAGTTGATGATGTATGGTATAAAATGTATTATCCACTCAAGCTGATGACATTGAACGAGTTAACGGTTATTCATATTGCATTCCAACGATTATATGACCGTAATAATGTCATTATCGATTCACACTTATGCTCACCAACACGACAATATCCACAAGCTGTCACATTTGTAAACATAAATTCTCTCGTTTAAATATGACGTCGTTGCTAGATTTATATATAGCACTCTAATGAGTTATAAATAGGATAATAGTGAGATCTTTACACCTTTATTGCTTGTAGCTTTTTTTTTTTTTTTAATTACTTCAGTAATGATTTTCAAAAAAATTGTAGCTTCTAGGGAACTTGATGGATTTTGATTTTTTTGAGTGCATGTGAAAGCTCTATTGTTCCTCTTTAAAAAGCACTGCTTGAAATTATTTTTCGATTCCAGATGTGAGGAGGATTAATTTTTTAAAAGGAGTTTGTTTTTGGCTCTGATTTATATGAGTCCTTAAATGAACTTGATTTTTAAAAAATTATATCTTGGAGGGATGTTGAGGGATTTTGAATTTCTTAGCGCCATTTTTTTGCTCATTTTTTACCCTTTAAAAAGCACTCCTTGACAATGGTTTTAAAATTTTTCTTGAATGAGTTATTAATTATTAAACAAAAGTTCGTGATGAATGATTTTGACTGATTTGAGCTTTGAAATAAGTTGTTTTAAAAGAATCATAATTTGTACAAAATTTGATCGATTTTAAATATTTAGTGCTCATTTTAAAGCTCTTTTCACGCTCTTTAAAATGCATTCCTTAAAAAAATTTTATCTCCTTTTTACACAGGATAATTAATACAGTAAATTTCGAGATTAATTATTCTGAAATAAAGTCAATTTTCAAAAAATCATATTTCAGAGCAAAGTAAAGTAATTTCAATTTTTCCTTCGCCATTTTTTAGCTCATTTTCTACTCTTCAAAAAACACTCCTCAAAAGTGCATTCGAAATTTTTTTCTCCCGAGTTATCAATTTTAAATCAAAGCTCCTTTTCCATTTTTATCAAAATCAAATAGAAAAAAAAGACTTAATTTTCAAAAAATCATCATTTCCCCAGAAATAATTCAATTTTAATTCTAAAAAAAGCATTTTAAAGCTCAATCTTTCCTCTGCATGCCCAAATTATTGAAAGTTAATTAAAAAATTCCTATCAAAAGTTACAAATTAATTTCTAAAAATTCAATTCAATAAAGATCAAAAAGGATCTCTTTCTATTTCTCCTTCAATAAAAACCGTATAAAGGACCTCATTTTTTTATTTCTTTCAACCATATCTACAGTGTATGATATATTGGCACAACGTCGATCATTGAACCGGCTCACGAGCTCACACATAACAGCAGCTAGCAGGCTACAATCACAGTGAATCAAAGTTGTCGGTGGTCAGGCATGATTCCGAGACTACTCCACCCACGATCTTTAGCCTCTGAGACATACAATCTACTGATTCCGCGTAGTAACGTCCTCCAATGCACCACACTATCTACATCATAAATTTAAAAATCCCCCCTGCCCCTAACCTCCCTCTTCCTTCACACTTGGTTCATCAAAAAAGAAAAAATCAAACCACCATTGAACACTGGGTTAAGAATTACATTGGAATATTTATAACGATTTGCTTACAACTGGTAAACAATTTGTCAAAGTCTTTATAATTGCTAGGATGCTATAAAGTGTTGGTGTGTTATGGAAGGATGATGATGATGATGAAGTTAGGACCGTCGCAATCGAAGGATCGTAAAGCTTGAGTCACTATGGACCGTGTAATTTAAACATTACAGTTCACTTTCTACATGGAGAACTTGTTTTATATTACTTGCCACCCGCATATTATGAGTGTATTTATTTTTTGGGGAGATGATGGTTGTATAAGTTAGGAAAATAATATTTTGATTGTTGATGATTATTAAAGGTAAGTTTTATGTCACTGTTATAAATATTTTATATTTATTAAACACATAAAATGTGGTTATGTTATTAT